CTTGCAAAATGAAAATGAATTCCATTTTGATTTTTGCAGGTTTATATCGCATACATGGGAGGCCGCCCAAAGGGTGAATTCTCTGCTTCAACCCTTCACAGTAGCATTCTTCAAGAAGTTAGTGGCAGGTTCATTCTTAACAAGAAGAAACAATTTTACAAGCTCCTTGATATAGCAATTAGTAATCTTATTTAATTCAATGATTAAGAATATTTTAATTATTAATAATAATCATCAACTATCATATTAGATAAAACCGTTAACTATCAATTCCAAATTGTTATACCAAATAAAATTTAGAACATAATTCAAAGAATCTAAGTTATGACCATGATTAGGAAGAGAGTTTCACAAATATCCTAACTTTTTGTGCTACGCAATTGAAGTGGTGCCGTAGAATTTTTGCTCTACGGCTACGGAAGGAGCTTCAATAGTTTTGCTGCCAACTTGACTGATGATGAAGCACGAAAATTGACCGGTAATAAATATCCGCAAAAATAAAATTTTGATGTGTTCCTAATGGAAATGATACATTTTTTTTCTCTTAACGGAGAGGGAAGACGTTGTGTCTGTGTTCCCTAACAGAAAGATGCAGCTTCAAACGACAAGATCATGGGATTTCATGGGTTTCTCCAAACAGGTTAAAAGGTCGACTCTTGAGGGTGACATCATTGTGGGTGTGTTTGATACAGGGATATGGCCGAAATCGAAAAGTTTCAGCGATGAAAACTTGGGTCCACCTCCAAAAATATGGAAGGGAAAATGCCAAAAATCATCCAATTTCACCTGCAACAAGTAAATTCAATTGAAAATAAGCAAAATCACATTCAATCATACGTGGGCTTTGATTATTGTAAAAAATTACTTCGATTTCTTTACCGTCAAATTGGAGCTCAGTACTAATCGGTCTGACAGCAGTTCCCTTGAAGTTCTTTCCCCATTGGATACGGATGGTCATGGGTCACAAGCTGCCTCCATCGCAGCCGGTGCCATTGTTGAAGGCGCGAACATGCTGGGGCTTGGCTTAGGGGACGCTCGCGGAGGGGTTCCTGGAGCCCGCCGTGCTGTGTACAAGATTTGTTGGATCGATGGATGTTCCAACCCCGATTCTTGCGGTATATGACGATGCAATCGCCAACGGTGTTGATATAATCTCTATTTCATTAGCGACATCCCTTGTTCTAGATTATTTCACTGATCCCCTCGCAATCGGATCATTTCACGCCATGAAACATGGTATACTGACATCAACTGCTGCTGGTAACTACGGGCCTACATATGGATCAGTTTCAAGTGTTGCTCCTTGGACTCTTTCTGTGGCTGCCAGTACCATAGATAGGAAATTTGTGACTAAAGTAAAGTTGGGTAATGGAGAGATTTATAAGGTGAGCATCACGCCATATATCCATATAGATTTCCATACTAAGACATATACTAAGAGCAATTTTTATTTTTTTATTTTTTTTTGGATCAACACGCATATGCAAGAACAATACCTTAAGATTCCTCTTTCTGTATGTAGGGTTCTTCTATGAATACCTTTGATCTCAAGAAAGACTTGTATCCTTTCATCTAGGCAGGAGATGCAGGTTTGAAAGGGGTTGATGCTAGGTAATGGCTGTATTTGATTATAATTTTATTAAACTTCAATTCAGTCGTTTAAAAATTGTTGTAATGAGGTAAAATTCACTGGGTATAATTCAGGAATTGTTACCCCGACAACTTGGACAAGAAGAAGGTAAAGGGGAAAATTGTTTTGTGTAAAGACATGAATGCTGGGATAGGGCTAGTAGAAGCTGAAGCGGCTGGTATGGTAATGCAAAATGGAAGTTTTGATGATGTAGCCTACGACTACTTCTTGCCAGCTTCCTATTTGAGCAACGGAAGTGCACTTTTCAACTACTTGAAAGGGACGAAGTATTTTACTTAAATTCTCCTTGTGTGATGTGCTTGTGTCTGGAATGTTTTAGCAGATGTCATTTACTTGGTTGTAATCTGCAATTGTTTCAATAGGAAACCAACAGCAAAGATATTCAAGAGTAATGAAGAAAAGGATAGATTCACCCCCTCTGTTGCTTCATTTTCATCAAGGGGACCAAATCTTATGACCCACGACATTCTTAAGGTAATGAAATTTTCTCTAGTTGATTAATTTTTTGTTTTATACCCAAAAACTCATAATGAACTCATGAACCGTTTGATTTCATGCAGCCTGATCTCTTACAGATCCGGAGTTAACATCTTAGCAGCATGGTCAGAAGCAAATACCATGACAGGCTTTCCCTGGGACAAGAGGATAGTTTCATACAACATACACTACGGTACATCCATATCCTGCCCACATTCATCTGGTGCAGCAGCATACATAAAGTCATTTCATCCAAAATGGTGTCCTGCTGAAATAAGTCCGCTCTAATGACCGCAGCTTCTTGTTTTATATTTTTTGTCCTTCTTTTCATATTAATTAAATCTACATGTGACTAGTGTGACTAATAAGTAATGTGTTTTTTAGCTTTTCCAATGAATCCTGCGGGTCATCCAGACAATGAGTTTGCATATGGAGCTGGTCACATAAATCCGGTCAACGCCACCAACCCTGGTCTTATATATGATGCTGAAGAGATTGATTACGTTAAATTTCTGTGTGGACAAGGATATGATAACTCCAAAATATTCTTTTCACCGAAAGACTTATCCGCTGTTCCAAAGAAATAAATGCATCAGTTTGGGATCTTAACTACCCTACCTTCACCCTGTCTACTTTGGATCATGTGATAAACCCACGACCAGAGTCTTTCATAGGAAGGTAACAAACGTAGGATCAGCTGTGTCCACTTATAAGGCACTGGTGAATGCCCCAAAAGGGCTTACAATCAAGGTTACACCCAATACCCTTTCTTTCATCTCTTGGCTTTGTGATTTTCATGCGGAAATGAAATCCTTTGTGGTGAATGTTACTGTAATAGTTGCGGCAACTACTCCTGTTATCTCTAGTTCTTTGACTTGGGATGATGGGGTGCATCGAGTCAGAAGCCCTGTTGTTGGATATCGTCTTCAGAATTGATTACCAACATTAATTTAATGAAATAATTAATATGCTAGTGAACTCACCAAATTTCTTTGTTTCCTTTGGTCATAAGAAATAAATTTTTTTGCACGGTGTTACTTTTATATGGTATATTTGCAATTAATTTTTTTTTTTCTACTTTATGCCATGTAATTCTAATAAAGTTTTAGTAACCTTAAACTTGGTGAAACTTAATGCAATCAGAAAGCACACACAAGTTATTCTCCTTAGACCATCAACCATGTGGTATGATGAGAAAGTTACATGTATTTTTAGTCATAAATTTAAAGTTTAATTTTCAGTCTTTACATACAAAAAATAGTAATAATTCTCCTTTCTCATTTTCTTGCTATACTAAACCTTTTTGTTCTTCTTTTTTTTTTTTTGAACAGGGTTACAAATATGGGAGAAAGGGGAATCGAACCCCAATCCTCGAGCTCAGGAGATGCACCTTACAAGACGGCCTATGGCCGTTGGGCCGTGAGGCTCAGGTGCAACCTTTTTGTTCTTTTAAAAACCTCTCAATATCTAAAAATCACATTAGATTTCAATTATTTGAAGTCAAATCAGATGAAACCTATCAAATCCCATAATGTGAAAACTCTTTCAACACTTATTTCTCTATTAGTAAGATTTAAATTCAAAATTTTATTTAAAAATAATTAAATTCTTCAACTCGAATGAAAAGATCATAGGTTAGTGTACTAAAACTCATGTCATATGCTTTGTGCAATTTGTCTATAATTTTTTATTTTTACTAACTATAAGCTTTTATGGTAATAATTAAATATAAATATATCTTAAAATATTCCTTTTAATGATTTTAAATGCACCCCAAATGCATAATAAGTACATCAACTTTTTAAATGAAAAAAAAAAAAGTCAAATGTAATTATGCAACATAGAACTTAGAAAGACACTCAAAGACTTTGTGTTAAAATACTATTATTAATTTCCTCATATCTTTGTGTCATGCCTGTCTTCATCATCTATAGCACCTTTTCAATCACCGTTGCCCCACCTTTCCGCGTTACATCTACCTCCACCATTCTAATGTGCTATACTATTAATTACAGCCTATTAGCACATTAATTGAAATTTCAGAATAAAAAAAAAACTTAAATTTTTATTTTATTAGAAGTTAGTTTTCTTACAAAGAAAACAAAAATGTATCCATGAAAAAAAAAAAAAATAGAAACGCAAGAATATCGATTAATATTGCCTCCCTTCAAAATTATTTTTTGAAAATTAAAATTAAAAATCTTTCATGCCATTCTGTTGTAATTAGATTCTTTATTAACAAGGAAATGTTAGTGCTACAAATTTAATTGTTAAAGCCAGTAACGGTTCATCTAATATGAATATAAATTTTCCTAGCTGGTTTCTAATTTTATTGTCAAAATTTAATAATTAAAATTCAAAACTGAATATAGAAATTTAATTTAATGCATTTTTTAAATTAATAACTAAAATAAAAAAGTTGGCACATGATTAACTGACACCAGTCGAGTGTTACATTAATTTTTGGACACATTTCAAAATGTCAATTGCAACACCTAAATTTTTAAAATAGTTCCTAAAATTTTTAAATTAATATATAACTGAAAATTGATATAAATTTTTTAAAAATTACATCAAACAGCTACTTAGTTTCTCAAACTTATATACAAGTATAGGTGGTCATTGAATTAACTATTCAGATACAACTAATAGTTGATAACAAACATCTAATAATCAACAATTATTTTTATTATTAATGTAAAATATTTAATTTATTCAATTCAAACATACAATTAATGGTTATTTTTAAAACTCTAAAATAAACGCCCCATAAATTTAAGGTTACACAAAAAAGTGAGGTAGTGGTGGGCGATTTCTGAAAACCTAGAACTTAGAGTGCCTAGGCATTTTTTAAAAATAATTTTTTTATATAATTATAAGAATATAAGAAAAAAATATGAAATATTTTAAAAAATAACAAATAAAAAAATAACATTTTTCTATCCATTATCATGCATGAAAAAAGCAAAATTTAAAAAAAAATTATTTGACATTTAAAACTTTTTAAATATATTTTTTACAATAAATAAAATGACATTGTTTCATTGAAATAAAAAATATAAAAAAAAAAAAAATTTGTCCAAGTACTTTAGAGTTTAGATGCCATTTAACGCTCTTCACAGTGCTGGGTGCGCTTTACAGATTTGACCAATGCAAGCCGCATTGAACTTTTACCTATTACCTAATAAGTAACCAATGCAAGCGACATGGCACTGCCTAGCCTAGGCGTGCTTTTCACCAACTTACCTAAACTGATAACTACTCCTTTACACAAGCAAAACTTTTTCTGGCGCTGTAAGCTTTTAACCGTTTCTCTTGTTTTCTGGAGCTTATTACAACAGCGAAGGGCTGTAGAATTTCTGATTGATTTTCCACCAATACCACACCAAAATTTTACTAAAAACTTACAAAACCCAAAATTGAAATTTTCAACCAGAGGCAACAACTTCAGAAATTGAAATCAAATTCAAAGCCACAAATTTTTACATATTTATTACTATTATTATTATTTTAATTAATTAATTTACTCCGGGATTGTGACTAGAACAGGTCGCCACGCTCTCCTCAATATTCTACACCGTAACGTCCCTGCCATCTGTCTTATAGAGCCACCACCGCGCCGAGCCGTCATGCCATCAGTTGCGCTCATCGGAGCCGGTAACAATCCTTCATTATCATCCAATCCACTCTTACTTCCCCTCTCCTCAAGCGGAGGCGAAGACACAAACAGCTCCCTCAATTTCCTTCTCCCCCTCCCTTCTTTCTTACTGCCGTTCTTCCTGTTCTCGCTGTCCGCAGTGGCATTTTTTCCCGGAGACCGATCCGCTACATTCTCTCTGTCGTCATCGCGACGGCCGAATCGACGACGTTCCGAAGCAGATGAGCGGTTGAGAAGCATGCGAAGAGTTTTGCGGCGGCGAAGGTGGATGACAGGGCTTGCGCAAGGACTCCTCGCCGGACTTCCAGCTACCGTGCACTGCGTGGCTAATAGCTTGAATTTCTGCAGAGCCGCCATTGATTCGTAGATCGATCGGAAACAAAAACCAGGTAACTAAAACTCCTCCTTAATTTCCCCTATATTAAATCTTGGAACCTCAGATCGAGAAAACGAAGATCTGAGAGAAGACAGCCGAATCCGATTCTTGAAATGATTAGGGATTTAAGAAAGAAAAATT